ATGTAAACTTAAAATTACAACTTGATCGGACTTGTTTTGACACAGAAATTTGCCAATTACAGAATTTATATCTCACAGTTCAAACTCGGCTCGTTTCCTTAACGAGCTTGAAAATCGAACTCAAGCTCGGCTCATTTACTAAACGGACAAGCTCTCGCCGAACTTTTAACGAGTTAAACCCGAGCTGTTCATGAACAGCTCGGTTCATTTGCAGTCCTAGTTATAATGTTATTGTCACGACTCGAAAATTCTAATAAAATCATCAATTTATACAGATCCAAATATATCAAAATACACCCAAGATCATAAAAAAAAAAAAAAAAAAATTCCGCTTTTATACAAAGTCAATTTCCTCAAATATATATACAAAAATTCTCCAAATAAATAAAATAAATCCTGCAACGCTGACTCTTCACCCTAAGCCTGTATCTAGCAATTCCCGTTCATCTTCAGTACTTGAAACTAGAGGGTGGTGAGACAAAAGTCCCAGTAAGAAAAATCATAACAAGAATTTCATGGAGGTTTAACAAAACAGCTTCACAAAATATACATACTCAAGTGAATATATAAACAAATACATATGCATTTAAATAAAACTTTTAATAAAAACCATTGAAGCAAAACCACCCCATACTATTCAAGGTATAGAAAACCCTACACTGAAAAGAAATTGTCCTCACTGGATCATCAAAGCGTCAAGCTCTAAGACCTCCTCTGCAGACTCTCAAACCTCTTCGTTTTTCCTCAAACTCTCTCTGTTTTTTTTTTTTTTTTTTTTGTATCTTTTCTACCTCAACTGAATTCAGTAGCTTAAACACAACACATATTTAAATAGGCAATTCCATCGACTTACAATTTAGGCCATCTGCACCAGCCTTTCCAAATGTTGGCTCTCTAAAAACGCCACATCAACTTTTCTAAGAGTTACATCAGCAATTTCAAAAGCCACGTCAGCAGTTTTCGCTCTCCAGAAACATACACTCCATCAGGCACTCTAAATTTTCGCTCTCCAAAAAAAATAATAATAATAAATTAAAATTAATTTTTTTTTAACTTTTCCTAAACGGCTATATTTGTCAGCCAAACAGTGCCTTAACGGCCTATACATTTAAAATTTAAAGTAAAATTTTTTTTAAAAAAACTAAATTTTAAGGGAAAAAAAAAAAAAAAAAAAAAAGGTTTTTTAATATATTTTTGGCCTAAATTTTTTTTTTTTTCGACAAACAATGCCTAAACAATATATTTTGTATTTAATGAATTTTATTTCTAAAAAAAAGAGTTCTAAATAACCTATTTTTAGGTTTTTGTTAAAAAAAAAAACTACCTTAAGGCACTGTTTGGCGCACTGTTATAGTACCTGCACAAAGAGACAAAACAGAGGTAGCCAAACGGCGTCGTTTTGAAACCATAAAAAATAAAAAATAAAATTTCGCAATTGCGGATCGACCCGCTGAATACCGCGAACCTTAAATGGGTCGTACTAGTTTGAAGAGGCCCTCTCTCTCTCTCTCTCTCTCTCTCTCTCTCGCGCGCGCGAAAATTAGGTTCCGCTAGTGAGTCTGCGGATGCTCTTAGGACAGCTCACCCTTGCAGAAAAATCAAAATATCAAACAAAGGACAATCTCTTTCTCTAAAAAATGGGACAACCCACGTGAAGGAAATCAAAGAAAGAATAAAACAATTTCCTTATCTCTTCATATTTCTATCAGATATATCCAAACAATACACTCTTTCCAAACTGACAACCCACGTGAACAGCCAACCCAATGAATATTTGCCCTAAAAAAATATCTCCTAGTGGACTCCACATTTCATTTACTTTTCTCTTTTTTCTTTTTATCTCTCCATTTCGTCTATGCAACGTAATATATTTACTTTCAAAAATAAAAATAAAAACATAATATATATATATATATATAAATGAAAACTTAAATCAAATTCATAATATCTTCTTGGGACCCGTAATTAACAAAACTCATTTTTCTTCTCGCAACAGTTCGTGTACCTGCTGCCACCTTTCTGCATGTGATAATATATATAAATATATATAATAAAATTAAATTCATTATCATCAGTAAAAGAACCCCACAAACACCATCACCATCTCAATCTTTTCTCCTTTATTTGTCCTTCTGCCAGCCACATGCTCCCTTTCATTTCCTACTTCCATCAAAAATACAATACATATATAAATATATTATATAACAAAATTAAATTAAATTTCAAAACTCACTAACTTTAATAAATAATTAATTAATTAATTAAAATAATTTAAAAATTATAAAATAATTAAATCAAAATTTTAAAAATTCGGATGATTACAGTTATCTTTGACTTCGTCACTAATCCAAACACAAATTTGAACCTCGTTCTCGTCCCTTTGTCTTTCTTGGCTATTCCACCCAACAAAGTGCCTACAAATGCCTCGACTTATCCTCTCATAAATTTTTTATTTCTAGTCACGTAGAGTTTGTTGAAGCTTGAGCCTCATTCTCCTACTGATCAATAAATGCACAAGGTGGACAAGTTGGATCTACTTTTCTTGGCGTAACCCAACTATCTCGTTAAACATTATTATTATGGTCAAGGAGTGCCTAGCCTTTTGTTGCGACTTTGGCTGCAGCTAGCGTCCCCACTATTGCCTTTATTTTCTAGGCTGTTAGTTTCAACATCTAGAAGCATATGTGAATCATCCCCTCTCTCTCTCTCTCTCTGTCTCTCTCTCTCTATATATATATATGTCAATCAATTTCTTATAGTTGATCAACATTGACTTTTCTTTGTCATCCTTGGGACATTAGCATCGCAATTATTATTATTATATTATTATTATACCCATCTATATATATATATATATATATATATAATTTATATATTACATGTCAATCAATTTCTTATACTTATCAACATTCACTATTCTTTGTCATTTTGGGACATTAGCATCAGCATTATTATTATTATCATTTTACTATTATATACCTATTAAAGCCTTTTTTTTTTTAATTTTGTTTTATTAAATAATTATAATTTTTTAAAATTATATTCACTAAAATTACAAATAAAACGTCGCCATTACCCTACCAACACACATTCTTTATCTTGATGTTATTAAATATTAACCTTCTACATCATTTTTTTTTTAGGTCGGTCCGTAATCATCAACGCATTATTTAAAGGGTTAGGTGCATTAAACCCTCTTAATTATAACCCAATTACAAGAAACCCCACTTAAGTAAGTAAAACCCCTTAAATTATCATTTTGTTGCACTTAGTCAAGAACCGTTAATAGAAAACAAAAATTACCATTTAGCCCTTTGTGTTGAATTATTTTTTTTATAAAAAAATTAGTATTATTATTATTTTTGGATAGGCTCATGTAACAATTGTATTCTGTATGTTCAATGAAAATTGGCCAACTCAGAATTATTTTATTAAAGTGGACAAAAGCAATTCTCCACCAATAAGAGAATGACAACTCAATTAGTGGAGAATTATATATATATATAATAATTGTAATTCTTCTCTATCGGCGACCACCACCACCCTCCTCTCTGTGTCTATCTCGTCAATAGTATTTCTTGGGGCCAACAAGAAATTGAAGGAGATGAGAGGAAATTGTGAAGTAATAACATCAAAATATCAAAATTCCAATTTAAATAGGTTGTATATTGGGATTGATCGGATTTGCTGCATGTCTCTCTCCATTTAAATATTTTATTTGTTATGGTCGGAGATCGGCAAACATAGACGGTTGACCTTTTTCCGACAGAATTAATCTGAATTCACGGTTCAAAGAGCATTAGTAATCACTGCAAATTGTTTATTATATAGCACCTTGGAAATATGCTAAGAACAATCCTTTCCCAGATATAGAACTCTTAAAGTAGGGAAGATAAATTATTAGTTATAGTCCAAGCACCATTCAAAACCAGACCATTCTTGTAGTCTTTGCTATCAAAATCTCATACATCAATAATTGGCCTGAAGAAAGAAATCATTTTCACCATTGAGAGCATCATATGCTGAGAACGAACCCAAGAAATTGCAAACGAGGACTTGGTCTTGAGTTTGGATATATATATATTCATCATATCCCAAGAATCCCCAAATTTGCAGCCCTAATTTTCAGTCTCAGCAAATCCTCTCTTGTTCGCCATTGATTTTCAGCAAATCCTTCTCATTTGCTCTCAAATCTCCATATTCAGGTGACTCGATCTCAAATCTCCATATCCAGTTCAGTTCCATTGCTCATCGGTAAGCTCACCGGCATCTTCCAAATTCATCACCACCATTGCCATAATTCATTGAAGCTTCGCGACTCCTACAGTCGTTACCGCCACCGTTCTGATTCGCGACCATCGTTAAGAACAATCGTTGCCATCCCGTGGGTTCATCCTCGCTTGCCGCCACCTTTTCAATTCAACTCATTGCCGTCTACCCATGTGGTTTAGCGCCGCCATCGCGAATAGTCATTGTGTTCTCTGGTAAGCTCGCCGTCGCCAAGCACCTCTGTCACTACCGCTGCAGAACAAACCCATTTCTCACAGGTATTGAAGTTCTTGTTGTTGCCGGAGTTGGAGGCCAAATAGAGGAAGGTGGATTGGGAAGAGAGCGGTTGTGGTGGCGGCCGTGGACGGTGAGGTGGTTTTGAGGGAAAAATATTCTGTGGGGGAGAGAACGGTGGCGGTGTCGGTGGTGGCCATTGGCGGACGGTGGAGGTGATTGCCATGGACAGATGCTGTAGGTTGTTTCAAGGTTATTTTAGTCTTTATTGATTTTAACCTAGTCACGTGAGTCATGTGCCTTCTTTGGAAGTTAGTTTTTAAACGGCCCACTAACGTTTTGCAATAATTAAAATAGTTTAGGAAGTTAAGTGTACTTCACTTAATTCAGGGGGGTTTAATGGAAAAGAGAAGAAAGTTGAGGGGAATTTAATGCACTTAACCTTTATTAACTAACAAAATGTTATTTCCCCCTGGTTTTCCTTTCATTTTCAGAGATGAGTTTAGCAACATCACCCTCACTTTACATACTAATCACATTTCTATTATTCATTACCTTGCTCCATGTTACAACACTCCACACTACTGCAACCGCCCCTAGTATTTCCTCAGGTGGAAACATGACTGATCACCTTGCGCTGCTCGCTTTCAAATCATCGATCACTAATGACCCTCAAGGGGTCTTCAGATCTTGGAACAAGTCCTTCCATTTCTGCGAGTGGGAAGGTGTTGGATGTGATCTCCGACACGGAAGAGTCACAATTTTAGACCTCGGATCAAAAGGCCTAGTGGGTTCCCTGTCTCCTCATGTCGGAAACATGAGCTTTCTTCACGTGCTGAGGCTCGAAAACAACACCTTTCTAGGCGCGATCCCTCCTCAACTCGGCCGACTCAACAGGTTGCAGAGATTATATCTGAGCTCCAGCAACTTTGAAGGAGAAATTCCCGCCAACCTATCTCACTGCTCCAACCTCACACACCTTCTTGTAAGTGATAATAAGCTAGTTGGAAAATTTCCGAACGAGCTTTGCTTCTTCACCAAGCTCAAAGTTCTTTACATTCACAGGAACAATTTAACGGGAGGGATCCCTCGTTCCATTGGGAATCTTACTTCTCTGGAAATGCTATCGGCTGCTATAAATCATATTGGAGGTAGTGTACCAGATGTCTTGGGTCAGATGAAAAACCTAACAACAATCGGATTTGCTGGCAATGGACTCTCCGGTACACTACCTCCTTCCATTTTTAATCTCTCCATGCTTACTAATCTGTCTTTTGCTGTCAACCAACTACACGGTAGTCTTCCACCGAGTTTGGGTATCATGCTCCCTCATCTTCAACTGTTTCAAATATGGGGTAACCAATTTACCGGAACCCTTCCATTCTCAATATCCAATTGTTCAGCACTGCAAACCCTAGAAATGCAACGAAATAATTTCAGTGGGAAAATAGGAATTAATTTTGGAGGTCTTCCGGATCTCGTGACAGTTAGACTGCACACGAATAATTTAGGAAGTGGAGAGCCAGATGAAATGAGCTTCATTAGTTCCATGACCAACTGTAGCAATTTGAAAACATTAGTTCTACTTCTTAACCAACTGAGAGGGTTTTTACCCAATTCTGTGGGTAATCTCTCGAGCCAGCTTGTTACTTTAGCGCTTGGTGGAAATCTCCTCTACGGAAAACTCCCTTCAACAATAGGTAATCTTGTCAACTTAACGTTGTTAGGTCTAGATATCAATCAATTCGTGGGCACAATTCCTACGGAAATCGGTAATCTTCAAAATTTACAAGTGTTCGCTCTTGACAGAAACAACTTATCCGGGAAAATCCCAGATTCTATTGGAAACATTTCATTGTTGATTCAACTTTTCTTGGGGAATAACAGATTAGAGGGCAACATACCCCCAAGTCTTGGAAGCTGCAAGAAATTGTTGTTGCTAGATCTTTCTCGCAATAATCTTAATGGCACCATACCTAAAGAACTCTTGAGAGTTTCTGCTCTATCAATTTCACTTAATGTTGGTCATAATCATTTGTCCGGATCCCTTCCTTCAGATGTTGGGAGTCTAAAAAATTTAGTGGAATTGGATATATCCGAGAATGAGTTGTCTGGTGAACTTCCGAGTGGCCTTGGAAGCTGTAATAGCTTGGAAAACCTCCACATAGAGGGGAATTTCTTCAATGGATCTATTCCTAGATCATTGAGTTCCTTGAGAGGAATTCAATATTTTGATCTCTCTCGCAATAATTTCTCCGGACAAGTTCCAAGTTTCTTGGTGAATTTTTCCTTGATGAATCTTAACATTTCATATAACGATTTTGAAGGTGAGGTACCGATGGAAGGAGTTTTTCGAAATACTAGTGCTATATCAGTTGTCGGGAATAGTAAGCTTTGTGGGGGCATACCTGAACTTCAACTACCCAAATGCAACTTCAAAGAATCGAAGAAACGGAAAATGTCTCTTGCACTCGTGACAGTAATCTCGGTAGTGTGCACAGTACTGTGTGTAATGATGGTGCTGTGTTTCTTATTTTGTATTTGGCTCAAGAAGAAAAGAAAGGGTCAACATTCTGAATCACTCTCGAATGAATTGTTCTTGAAGGTGTCTTACCAATGGCTTCTCAAAGCAACTGACGGGTTTTCTTCAGCAAATTTGATTGGTGTGGGGAGCTATAGTTCTGTCTATAAAGGAATTCTTGATGAAGAAGATGAGACATCTGTTGTTGCCGTCAAAGTCTTAAACCTCCAACGTCGAGGAGCTTCCAAAAGTTTCATGACGGAGTGCAAGGCCTTGAGAAATGTTCGGCATAGGAATCTGGTAAAGGTCATAACTTCTTGTTCGAGTGTTGATTTTCACGGTAATGATTTCAAGGCTCTGGTTTACGAGTTCATGCCCAATGGAAGCCTAGAGAGGTGGTTGAATCCGGATCCGGGAACAGAAAATAGACAGAATATTGAGATTCAAAGCCTAAACGTGCTTCAATTCAGAGTAAACATTGCGATTGATGTGGCTTGTGCACTAGAATATCTTCACCATCACTGTCAAACGCCAATTGTTCACTGTGATTTAAAGCCAAGTAATGTACTTCTTGATGAAGACATGGTTGCTCATGTAGGAGATTTTGGGGTAGCAAGGTTTCTTCAAGTACTCTTAGATCCAAAACAAAGCAATTCAGTTGGAATAAAAGGAACTATTGGCTATGTGGCTCCAGGTATGTAATTACAATGCACTATATTTTTTTTTCGTTCTTTTTTTATTTATTTATTTTTTATCTATATTTTTTTCTTATTGGGTTACTTCAATATAGCATCACTCAAATTTATTAATGTTCTTATTCATTTTTTCCACTTCTTTTTCAAAAAATTTAATCAGCAATGACCTTCTTTTTCTATTCTTTATTCCCTTTTTAGCTTCTTTTTCAAATTTATTAATATAATTTTATATAGTTAATGTCTGTATTTTATGTTTCTGAATTTTTCTTTACTGTAATTTTGTTTCAACCGGTCGTGACTTGGTATTTGAATTTTGTTTACTGCATTGTTAGTAGACTACTACTACTACCACTACTACTACTACTTCTTCTTCTTCTTCTACTTCTTCCCTTTTTTTTTTTTTTTTTTTTGGCATTCCCTAAAATTAATTTATGGCTCTTTTGCTTAGCGTCATATCAAATATTGTAAAACTTTTGTTAAACAAAATTAAAGTTGGTTTTAGACTGTGAACTCAAATGCTTTCTAATTTTCGAACATTGTGATTTATTTATTTATCCTTCTCTTCTCTTGATAAGAGTACGGCATGTCGAGCGAGGTGTCAATAAAAGGAGATGTGTATAGCTACGGAATCTTGGTATTGGAGATGATGACCGGAAAGAGGCCCACTGACACTGTGTTCGTCGATGGCCTTAATCTCCATAACTTTGCTAAGACGGCCTTGCCTGATCGCGTTACAGAGATTGTACATCCAATGCTCATGAAGACTAAAGAAGAGGAGGAAACAACTGTGCCCAAAAAAATTCAGGTTCCGAAAGATTCAAGAAATGACATCAGAAAAGAATGTATCCTATCCTTGATTAGGATTGGAGTTGCATGCTCTATGGAAGATCCACAAGATCGAATGGATATAACCAATGTCCTTCACCAGCTAAATCTGGTGAGGGACAATCTTGGAGGAAATTGAAACTAAAATGTCTTTTTTCATTCTTATTCCCCATGAAGTCTTTTTATTTTCAAATTTGTGTGTGTACGTATGCGTGTGTTAAATGCATGTATAGAGAATGTTGTTCCATCAATTAATGAGATCAAATTTGAAAAAATCACGGATCAATATTTATGCTTTTTGCGCGTGATATATACTCCCTCTGTTTCAAAATAGATGTCCTGTTTAGAAAACCGTAATTAAACATGACATCTTTTATAGGACAGAAGTAATATATAAATGTATGTGTGTGTATATATATATATCAAAGTTGGTTCGAAACTAAACTTAGTTGGTGGGTACCAACACGTTAGTAGCCTAGCGTAATGGGTGGGCGATTGTCAATTTATCTAAAAGTTCAAACTGTTAGGTAATATTGCATACTCACCCATTTATATCCAATCATTTCTCCATTCAGATTCGATATGAGACAAGTGACCCTTATTACATTCTCCCCCACCTGAACTCGCAACGCTCTCGTTGCGGTCGGGCCATCCTGCCTACCCGGAGTGGCTCACCCGCGCCTTCTGGGTTGGACACTTAGCGTGACATCAGATCAAGAATTGGGTGTAACTCTAATACCAACTGTAATGGATGGGCGCTTACCCATTTACTCAAGAACTCAAGATGTTGGGTAGTGCTGCATACCCACCCGTTTATACCCAATCACTTTTTCATCTGGATCCGTCCCACATCGGATCCAGATGGGAAAATGATTGGGTATAAATGGATGGGTATGCAACACTACCCAACATCTTGAGCTCTTGGGTAAATGGACAAGCGCCTACCCATTACAGTTGATATTAGAGCCAGACTCAATTCTCAATTCGGTGTCACGCCAAGCCTCTGGCCTGGGAGGCGTCCGGATAGACAGGGGGACTCGAGTCGCAACAAGGGCGCACATCGGATCCGAATGGAAAAGTGATTGAATATAAATGGATAGGTATGCAGCACTACCCAGCAACTTGAGTTTTTTGGTAAATGAGTAAGCGCCCACCCGTTACACCTAGTCTTTACATTCCAAAAGGAGGTCAGAGTTCAGATCTCAGTGCTAATTTTGTATAATATCCATTAGAAAAGTTAATTTTTTTAATAGTGATTTAGGAATCGAATTAGCTAGTTTTTGAATTCAATTTATGTGAGAGATGTAGTCGGTCTTAACACATGATGTAATGATTACATCATATAATGAGACCTACCATCAAGTCCATCACACTTAATGTAATTAAATTCAATAACTACTTAATTCGATCTTTAAATCACTATTATTATTTTTTCATAAATGAAAAACAACTTTAATAAATAGTATGTGGAAGAATTGTGGTGGTCTTGCACAACGATTAAAGAAGTCTCTCTAAAGCACATCAAAGAGCTCCCCTCCCTCTATCTCAAAGACCATAACCTTGATTGATTCTTATCTTAAAGGCCAGCAGAACAATAGATGTTTAAACTAAGAAAATATAAAGAAGACTAGTAGCCCAATCGATCGAGGCCCACACATACAAAGCATACATGCTTGGTGATCAAAAAACATCCTTACAATTTCAAATTAATCAAATAAGGATATTTTTGTTAATTTGAAGACTAAAATAACTATAGGTCCCTTACAACAAGATAAAAATAAAACATATTAATTTCATAAAACACTGATTATTAAGGGGTTTGGGGGGTTTTTTATAAAAAAAATTAGGACAATTTGAACATATTTTCAAATGTTAGAGATTTATATGCACATACTAAATTGCAGGGGTATTTTTTACACATATATTTTGTTTTTTTTCCCACTTTGCCCTTTAAATTAACATAGAATTATTATGATAATTGGCCCATGTCATTACGCGTTAGTTGTGCCCTACTTTGCATGAATATATATGTATATATATATATATACACACACTATTCTAAAAGTGCAAACCCCTTTATCTATTTTTTTAACATTTTTAATTTTTTTCATAAAAAGTCTCATTAAATCACCTAATGATTCATACTTCATTAAAATACATAATGATTCATATATTTTAAAGTACATAATGATTCATAGATTTTCTCAAATTTCAATTCTCAAAACTTTATTAAATTCCCACAAATTCCATAGCCCTAATCCACACACACACAAAACCATTTTTCATCCCACTATTTAAAAAGCAACCACCCATTCCTTTCCAAAAATTCTAAAAGTGTAAGTGATTATTTGAATTTCTAACATTTTATATAATTTTTTAATACAAAAATTAGGTTTTTGCTTTCATCATTAAATAAAAGTGTATTAAAAATTTAAATAAAAGTATATTAAATATTTAAAAGTACTAATAAATTTGATACCTCTTACACTTCTCTATCAACAGTAGAGACTAGGAGTTACTTATTAATATATTAGTAATTTAAAATAAATAAAAGTGTATTAAAAGTAATAATAATTTTTAATACCTCTTACACTTCATATATCACATTTAACAAATAAAATTTATTTATTAACAATTTTATCTTTTCATTTTTCTTCTGTTCATAATGGTTGACAATATATTTTTCTTCAATTTGTAATGGTCCATAATAGAAGTTACTTATTATCAATTTTATCTTTTCATTTTTCTTCAATTTATCTAAAAAATAAAAACTAACTTTTACTATTTTTAAAGTGTAAGCGATTTTTTGAATTTCTAACATTTTTCACAATTTTTAAAATACAAAATTAGGTTTTTCCTTTCATCATTAAATAAAAGTGTATAAAATTTTAAAAGTAGTAATGAATTTTGATACCACTTACACTTCTGTGATCAACCGTAGACACCAAGAGTTACCTATTAAATTAGTGATTTAAAATAAATAAAAGTGTATTAAAATAACAACGAATTTCGATACCTCTTATGTTGTTTGCTGTGCAGAAATAGAATATCCATTTCAACCATTCATTTGTTTGGTATGCAATTTATAGTAAGAATGGCCATTCCATTGGAATGAAAATCCATTCTTAATAATGAAAATCCATTCAACGACTAAACCTATGGAATGACCATTCCATTCCCAAGTAAATTTTTTTAAAAAAATCAACTTCCCAAAAAAACTCTTATGTTCTAAGTCCAAAAACTACCATTACTTTTCATCACAACCACCTCCGCCTTTCACCACTACCCACCGCGCTTTCCACCACCGTCGCCTTTCACCACTGACATCGTCTTCCTTTGCCGCAACGACCATTGCCATCGCCTTTCACCAAAGCCACCGCCTTCACCAAAGCCACCGCTTTTCACCGCAGCCACCTCTCCACCACTACCGCTGCCACCATATTTCACCACCACTACCTTCCACCGTCGCCAGTACCACCACCAGCTTCAACTGCCGCCACCGCCACTGCCACCACCTTTCACCACCACTATTGCCGTCCACCGCCACCACCGTCGTCGCCGCCTTTCACCACCACCACTGCCACCGCCTTTTACTACCACCACTGTCGCTGCCGCCACCGCCACCGTCCTCCACCACCACCACCGCCGCCACCGCCACCGTCCTCCACCACCACCGCCGCCGCCGCCGCCACCGCCACCGTCCTCCACCTTCCATTACAACCACCGTCACCGCCACCACCATTGCCTGCCATCACCCCACCACCGCCACCTCCACTGCCTTCCACTACCATTGCCATCGCCTTCCACCACTGCCTTCCACCACCATTGCCACCGCCTTCCACCACTGCCTTCCACCACCACAATCACCTCTATTGACTTCCATCACTGCCACTTATACCACTATCTCCTTCCATCACCACCACACTACTACCACCACCTTCCACCAATACCATTGGCGCATTCCACCAACACCGCTGCCGCCTTCCACCATTGCCATCACCGTTGCCTTCCACCATTGCCACCGCCGCCGCCTTCCAATACCACCACTTGCATCATTACCGCTTTCCACCTCCACCACCATCGTCACCACCGCCATTGCCACCATTTATTTTTTGAAATTTATAGAAGAATGTCATTTGTTAATTAAATTTATTTGTTACTAAGAGGGATATTTCGGAAAACTCAATTTGAAATTTATTCCATTCTAAATTTTAAATTGGTCCAACCAAATACTATAATAGTTATTATCATTCCATTCCTACACATTTCATATTTATAAGCAAATAATAGAATGAGAATGGACTTTCCTTTCCTTTCTCATTCTCATTTCATTATCACTTGCATTTCATTCCATTCATACACACCAAACGCAACATTACACTTCATATAACAATTGACAATTAAAGTTACTTATTAACAATTTTACCTTTTTTATTTTTCTTCATTTTGTAACGGTTGACAATAAATGTTACTTATTAACAATTTTTTTAATTCATTTTTCTTCAATTTGTTTAAAAAATAAAACCCTCTTTTTATTTTCCCAACAATTAGTGGCTTTGAATCCTGATTCGCAGTATCGGTCACGGTCGTGGTATACATTATGTTTTATATAAAGAAAGAATGATTATTAATTTTTTTTTTTATATTTTTATTATTAATATTTTTATTTTTTTTTGTCATATGCTTCAGTTTTGACGAAAACATCAACTTCAATTCCATATATTGATGAATCTCAGTATAGGAATTATAATTGTTGATTTTGTTTAGTTGAATTACTGATTTTTAAATTGGCCAACTGTAGGTGCAAAATTTCGCTCAACCAATAATGATTAAGAAAAATAAAACAACTCACTCAATCAATAGTAAAATAAACAAGAACAATATATCTCGAAGCGTAGAATTGCTTGATTTTTTTTATTGGAGGTCTTAGCCTCTATTTATATACAAAAGATTGTAAAATTATGGTAGGACTCGCGTTGCTTGCCCTCCAATTCTTTCTATATAAACATTCTTTACTAATAGAGTTCTTTCCATTGTCTAATTTTCCATACATAGAACTTGCCTTGTACAGAACTTCCTATCTCAGAATTTTCCTTCTAGGTAAATCATTCAACTGGTAGGACTTGTGCATTCTTGAATAACTGGGCTGAACATATTTTGATCCGGCTGGGCTTGAGTAACGGACCGGATGTTAAATATTAACAAGTTGGGCTGATGACCTCTTGATTCGGCCTTGATGGAGGTTGGAGGACAAATAACAACGGTCTTGGGCTATAAATACCCTCAATTTGGGCTTGAGCATG